CTCTCTAACAGTAACTCACTGTGGAGAAACCTGGCAAACCCATGCCAGGAAGGCCAACATCCCCCAGCAGTGCCACCTGAATCTTACACGGGCTGAGAACATGGTGGACCTCGATAAGACGTGATGAGAAGGGCACTTCGTCTAATTCCAACCCGAATCCCAGCCTAATCGTGAGACAAACAGCAGGCAGACCTAGACTGGAAACATTCTACGGCGTCCCCAGCCTGGATCCCTGAGCACCGCCAAGGTCATGAAAAGCAACACAAAACTAAGACAGCAGCACTGACCAAGGAGGTCTGGGGGACAATCGTGAATGGGTAACCTCATTCCCGGGAGCAGCCCCAGGGCTGACAAATGAAAAGCGAAAAGGCCCCTGCCCGAGCTGAGCTGCTCCTTCGTAAGCCTGGCAGTCTCTCTCTACAGAAATGTGATTCCCTGGGCTTTGTGTGGGCTCAGCCTTAGCTCTCCTGAGCTCCCTGTCAGACCAGTGCCTAGTTCTATCCAGCCGTTTCCAGAGCTGTCTTCCTGAAGCTGGCCCCAGAACCACACATGTGCTCTATGCTATTTGATTTCTTTTTAATCTTCACTTTGTATTTAGAAAGCAGAGAGACAAAAAAGAGACCTTCCATCTGCTGGCTCACTCCCTGAATGCCCACAACAGGCAGGACTAGGCCAGGCCAAAGCCAGGAGCCCAAATCCAACCCAAGTATCCCACATAGGCGGTGAACTGTTACCTGCTGCTTCCCAGGGTGCGCGTTAGCAAGCAGCTGGATTGGAAGCGGATGAGCAGGGACTCGCATCCGGCACTCTGATCTGAGATGCGGGAGTCCCAAAGGGCCTCTCAACTCATCAATTGCTGTCCTTTCTGCTCTTCTTAATTTTGAAAAGTCTCGTGTTTTTCACAGCCTTTATGTGAGACTCTCAGCATTCTCACAGCTGCTCACTTCCGTTGGCTTTTCCTCATTGCATACGAGGAGTCTTCAAAAAGTTCATGGAAAAAATAGGATTAATAGACGTTTATGTTGGTGCAAGAAGTTTTTGAACTCCATGCAGCTATTTGACAATACATATTTCCATGAACTTTTTGAAGACCCCTTGTACTGTGACTACTACAAGCAAAGCTGCAAAACACTGCTGCTGCCATAAGTGGTCGTCCCTTGGTATCCCAAGGGCCAGGTTCCAGGACATTCCTGCCCTGTGGATACCGAAATCCATGGGTCCCCTATATAAAATGGCACAGTATTTGCACAGAACCCACACACTTCCTTCTGTGTACTTTAAATCATCACCAGGCTACTTCTAATACCAAAGAGAATGTAATTGCTATGTAAATAGATGTTAGACTATATTATTTGGGGAATAACAACAAGGAAAAAGGTTGCACGCATTGCTTTTCGGAACTTTATGGACTTTTTTTCCCCAAATATTTTTGGGCTGCGGTTGGTTGTATCTTCGGCTGCAGAACCCGAGGACAGAGCCAGTCACCTCTATCAGAACACGCCTGATGGCTGCACAAAAATGCCTGACATGGCCGGCGCCGCGGCTCACTAGGTTAATCCTCCGCCTAGCGGCGCCGGCACACCGGGTTCTAGTCCCGGTCGGGGCGCCGGATTCTGTCCCGGTTGCCCCTCTTCCAGGCCAGCTCTCTGCTGTGGCCAGGGAGTGCAGTGGAGGATGGCCCAGGTGCTTGGGCCCTGCACCCCATGGGAGACCAGGAAAAGCACCTGGCTCCTGGCTCCTGCCATCGGATCAGCGCGCTGCGCCGGCCGCAGCGCGCCGGCCGCGGCGGCCATTGGAGGGTGAACCAACAGCAAAGGAAGACCTTTCTCTCTGTCTCTCTCTCTCACTGTCCACTCTGCCTGTCAAAAAAAAATAAAAAATAAAAAAAAAATAAAAAATGCCTGACAGTGACAGTGGGAAACCAGAACCCAGCCCCACCAGTGAACAGGCTCCCAGACTGCACCAGCTCCTGTCCCCGCACCAACTCCTGCCCGACCACTGCAGCCCTGGGCCCAGTGGCCCCTTCCCTCCCGCATGCCCACAGCTCATGGATGCCAGAAGTCCAACAGGCCACAATTGGCCCAGCCACATCCCACGCTCACAGCATGACGTGGTCATCCTCATGCCGGTGACCCCACCTCTGGGTGCAGGGGGCTGTGGACACCTCTGAGGGCTCCCAGGAGAAGGATGGGAGCAGGCAGTGGGAGCAGAGCAGCGACTGAGCGGGGTGTGCAGCAGGGAGCAGGACGCCATGGGGAGCCCCCTGGGGAAATCAGAGGGGCTCAGTCGTGGGCCAGCAAGGAGCCTGCAGGGGCTTCTGGGATGGCCAGGAGGAGGGAGGATCTCCTCCTTCGCTGGACACGTCCCCTGTGTCTTGCCACATTCTAAGTCTTCCTATCTGGGACATGTGAAATCCCTGCCTGCTCACGGTGGCTTTTCCTGGTATAAGGACATCAGTTCCTGCGCAGCCGGCTGGCCCTGTTATCCCCTGTGACTGCCGGTTCCCACCCAGGACGCTCTCCCACTTCCTTGCCACTTCACAGCCCACACGGCCTCTGCCTCCAGTGGGGCCCTTTCTGTGGTCACAATGAGTGTTCCAAGTTCCCCATCTGACCTGAGACAGCAGGTTCTGGCCCTAGGCGAAGGCTTCCCTCCCCTACCACAGCAGGCCGCTCCCCTTCCCAGGGCTCCCTGGCCCTTCCCTTCTCCCCCTCTGCCAGGAAGGGCCGCCCACCTCCTCCCTATTGCCCAAGCCCAGCCCACAGTCTACCTGGCAGGCAGGAAGTCACATGACTCCACTCCTCTTCCCCCTGGTGCGTGATTCCCCTCTTGCACCGATCCTATCTCATTCTCACCACATTCCTACCTTACGGTAACCTGTGGAAGGGCTGGGAGCACGTGCAGCACGGCTGGCGCATCACAGCTGCTGGGTGCGCACTGAGACTACACGGATGTGATGGTTGGGTCCTACGCATGCGTTGGCTGAGACGACCTCTTCCTAAGCAGAAAGCTGCTTCCAACACCCCCAGGAGCCTTGGCTTCAAGAAAAGCACCTCCCTATCAAGTGAATCAGGGAAGCTGCCTCCCTGAAACTGCACGGCTGGCACACCCTGGGGGCCAGGAGCTGTCGGGGAGCCCTGCGGAGGTATCCAGCGGTCACACACACTGTGATGTGGCCGTGCTGTGGGTGGTGTACAGAGCATGGACTGGTATTTCCAGAGTGCTCAGGAGACTCATGCTAGGAAAAGACCTCATGCTGAAGAGGATAGAGGCTGGTGTTGTGGCACAGTGGGTTAAGCCATCGCCCGCAGTGCTGGCATCCCATATGGGTGCCGGTTTGAGTCCTGGCTGCTCCACTTCCAATCCAGCTCCCTGCTAATGTACCTGGGAAAGCAGTGGAAGATGGCCCAAGGGCTTGGGCCCCTACTCCCCTGTGGGAGATCTGGATGAATAAACCAGTGAATAGAAGATGTTTCTCGGGCCGGCGCTGTGGCGCACCGGGTTAATGCCCTGGCCTGAAGCTCTAGCATCCCATATGGGCACCGATTTTAGTCCCGTCTGCTCCTCTTCTGATCCAGCTCTGCGCTATGGTCCGGGATAGCAGAAGATGGCCCAAGTCCTTGGGCTCCTTGCACCATGTGGGAAACCCAGAGGAAGCTCCTGGCTCCTGGCTTCATTCAGATAGGCGCAGCTCTGGCCATTGTGGCCAACTGGGGAGTAAACCATCAGATGGAAGATCTCTCTGCATCTCCTCTGTGTGTAATTTTTTCAAATAAATATTTTTTAAAAATGGTATTTTTCCATCCCTCCCTCTCTGCCGTTCAAATAAATAAATCTTAAAAAGGAAAGAAAATCATTTACTGAGCATACAATTTGGGGATTCAAAGTCCAAGACCAGATGGCCTCATCCTTGGCTGCATCCCAACATGAAGAATAAAGGGAATAGCTGAGTGTGGAAGAGTCCAAGTGCATGGGGGTGTCTTTTCCTTATAACCACACACTCCACGAGAGCAGCATCAGTCCCTAGGCAGTGCTCCCAGTAAACTAAGGGCCTCACTAGTCCCCATCTCTTAAAGGCCCCACCACCTCCCAAAAGTGCCACACTGGGGCTCAAGCTCCCAGCACATGCGCCCCTGGAATGCACTCAACCCTACACAAATAGCAGCAGCAGGTTAAAGTTAAGCGAGGTCTCTACTGCAGAACTTTGGAGGCTTCACTTTGCTACAGACGTGGGAGTGGCCCAGAGCTGGGCACCACGAAACCTGGGCCAACTGGGTGGGTTTTCACTGAACGGTGGAAAAAGGATCCTGAACAAAGTATATGCCTATAGTGCATTCATCAAGGTCACCTAAAGTGGGCGGAGCCTCAGGATGGATGCTTTCTTTCTCAAAAAGACAAGAAGAAGGGGCCGTCACTGTGTATCAGGCTGAGTCACTGCCTGTGATGCCGGCATCCTCTGCTTCCGATCCAGCTCCCTGCTAATGTGCCTTGGAAAGAGCAGGAGATGGCCCAAGTGCTTGACCCCAGTATCCATGTGGGAGACCTGCTGGAAGCTCCTGGCTTTGGCCTGGTACAGCCCTGGTCATTGTAGCCATCTGGTGAGTGAACCAATGCATGAAAGATCTTTCTCTCCTTGTCTCTCCTCTTTCTCTGTCACTCTACCTTTTCTTATTTTTTAAAGATTTATTTATTTACTTGAAAGTCAGAGTTACACAGAGAGAGAAGAAAAGGCAGAGAGAGAGGTCTTCCATCCACTGGTTCACTCCCCAGTTGGCCACAACAGCCGGAGCTGCGCCAATCCAAAGCCAGGAGCTTCGTCCAGGTCTCCCACACAGGTGCAGGGGCCCAAGGACTTGGACCATCTTCTACTGCTTTCCCAGGCCATAGCAGAGAGCTAGACCGGAATTGGAACAGCTTTATACACTATACCACAGTGCCAGCCTCTGCCTTTTCAATAGACAAAATAAATCTTAAAAAAAAAAATCAGAAGCAACATCTTTAAAGCATCAAAAACTTTTATTCAGAATAGGCATTAGTGAGATGAAGGTGGAAGACTAATAAATGTGGTGGGGCCACAGAGCACTCAGAGATAGGAGAATAACCGCAAAAATATCCTGCTGCAGATCAAAATAAAATGAAACTCTATGCCGTACCATGGGCTGTGAGATGCAGTCATATGTAATCACACCAGAAAATCTTCAAACCATTCGCCCATGTGGCGGAAAATCCAGACTCAAAACCCAAGTGCTACTGTGATACCCAGCCACCACCCTCCATTATGAGCCTTCACGCAGGCACCCTCAGGCTTCCATGGTTGTGGAGACGTCAGATTAAGTGCTGGTCATTTTCCCAGTAGGGCTTCCACTGGCAGGAGTGGTAAGAGCACCCCAAGAAGTTTACTGGGGCTGCATCTGCCTTTTCAGCTTGGCCAGTCTCTTGAGGCACTCGTCCCTCCACTCCCTCCTGGCAGCCAAGTGCTCCGGGTCTGCGGGCACCTTCTTGCACATGGCCTGGAGCAGAGTCAGGAGCAAAAGAGAAGCACACAGAGGAAACAGTCAGGGGTGTGAGTCGTGTTCCTGTCTATGCCAGCTGCCCACCAACCGCTTCCAAAGACCAGGGACGTCAAGGAGGGGAACCCTTCAAGGAACACAAGCTTTTGGAATCTTTAGAGAATTCCGGTCCTAGACACACGTCTAGGTCACATTGTATGATGGTCTCCTGGTGACCGTGGACAAAGTGAGGGAAAAAGAACCAGAGAGACCGGGTGCCAGGGTCCCAGGGATGCCTAACGCCCCCGCGGCAGGGATGAGGGAGTGTGCACACCTGGTTAACCTTCTCCACCGTGGCGCCGGAAAACTCAGGAATGGACCCGAAAGACTTCAGGACCCGTTTCATGCCTTCACTGTATCTGTCGCAGTAGCTTAACATACCTGAAATGTACAAAAACAAGAAGCCACAACATCAGCAAGGACACTGAGAACTTTCAAACTAAGTGTGCTGGCCCAGAGGCTTCGACCCTGGGGGTCAGATTCGTGACATTCTCTTTCTGCTGCTGATAAAAGACCTGGAGGGGGTGGGCGGGGGACAGAGGAGGGAGGTGAGGGAGGACCCTGCTGCAGGGCCGCCACCCACTGCCTGCCCAACATCACAGGAAATCCTAACTTCCGCCAACAGCATCTCCTTCAACAACTGGCTGGGATGTTTTTCTAAGAACCAAAGTACCTGTCACTCAAGTCACTCTTCTAGGAATTCCAGGTGCTGCTCTCCCCGCGTGTTTACAGGGTGGCAGGTCCCTAAACAGAGGTTGCTAAAGCTCTGGACAGGTGGGCTGGAATCCAGGCACACCCTGTGCCCTGATGCAGGCATCCCCAGGGAAGCCCGTGGTGGAGCAGCACGTGAAAAGGAGGCTCAGCAAAGCAGACACACAACCCCCTGCACGCAGCCTGGGGCCATGCGGGGTTGAAGCAAAGAGCAGGAGACACAAAGCACAGAGGAACGCACACACGCCCAGCCCCACGCCTGCCCCGGCCCGCCCGGCTCTGCAGACCCTGGCTCTGGCCCATTTCCAACATTTTTGGAAGCCAGCAGAATAACTCAGCAGTGGGTCATTTGGGTTAAAAAGATAACAAAGGAAAAAGTAAAACTGCAGACTCTGCTAAAAATCCCAGAGCTTGGCTCTTCCCTCTACCCCACAAAAACTGTGTGTGGTCAGTTTAAAATAAAAATGATCAGTGCTGCTCACTTAGAAAAAAAAGAGCACAATAAATTACTCCATTCAGGCTTAGTCTTTTTTGACCTACATGGACACGGAACCCTGCAATCACCGGGCTTCAGCTCTGCCCCACTTTCCTTCTCCCCCAGTGTGTTAGAGCTCCCCGAGAAGGGCAAGTTTCTGGAAGGATAAAAAGTTCAAGTGCACCGACTTTTCTGATGTTAGCACCTGCAATTAAGCAGCAGACAAAAGTTATAAAAGAAGGGATTTCATGTCGTGTCACATGTGAACTTGGCAACTCAGAATTCTAGAAGGTTCCCTAAATGTGCCAGCGCTGTTCAGTCATCCCAGATGGCTTGGCACTGCTAGAGAATGGAAAGCAACCTATACACTTACCTCTTTTCAACAAAGAAGTGCCTACCTCACCTCTATCTTCTCAGGGCACCTCAAAACGTTTGTGGAAAGGAGTGGAATTAAAGGATAAGCTTATTGTGATGCCAACAAAACCACCCCTGAAATTCACAGATAATGTGTACTATGTAAAAACTGCATGGATTCCAAAAAATGTCTTGCAACAAAACAAACTTGTAGCCCTTTGAATTTTTTGAAGTACCCTCATATTTATTCAAACTAAAGGTGATAACATCGAGACATAGTTTATCCTGCTGGAGGGGCAGAGACACAGGGAAAGTTGGAAATAAGCTGGAAAGATGCTGACCCTGAGGAAGCCAGGGAGTCACGTGGCTGCACACTGACCCCTGCAGTGAACATGGAGCTGCCCGGGGGCCACCTCAGCCGCCAACTCCATCTCCTCTCCCATGGGGGCAGCAATGCCACAGGACTCAACCCTGGCACAATTCACCTCTGGACACTTCACATCCTCTGGACAAGTGTGCATTCTTTACAGTCCCTGTACAGGCATGCACCTCCCAGGGGTTTTCTAGAACTTTCTTCTCCTATTGCCTTCTGTAGAATTTGTAAAGTTTTGTGTGGTTTTTTTTTTTTTTTTTTTTTTTTTTTTTGATGATTTGAAAGGCAGAGTGAAGAGAGAGAGAGAGAGAGACAGAGAGACAGAGAGATCTTCCATCTGCTGCTTCACTTCGCAAATGGCTGTAATGGGCCAGGCTGAAGCCAGGAGGGAGGAAATCCATCCAGGTCTCGCACATGGATGGCAGGGGCCCAAGCACTTGGGCCATCTTCACTGCGTTCCCAGGCACATTAGCAGAGCTGGATTGGAAGCGCGGCAGCCAGGGCTCAAACCCGTGCTCCCAATACGTGATGCGGACAAAGCAGGTGGCAGCTTAACTTGCTGTGCCACAAACCAGCCCCAGAATTTGTAAAGTTTTAAAGGGATATTGATTTCTTCAAAATACGATAAAATATGGTCAAACTCTTCACAGTGCAATTCATCATTTCCCCACCTTTGTCAAGAAACCGATCAAAACCGCAGGCTTCCCCAATCTGAGAGCCCTGCTGTGACACACCTCCAGGCTCTCCCGGCACTGAGCCGTCTGCGCGGTCCAAGGCGGAGACATGAACAGCGCATGCTCAGAACAGGCTGTGCACGGCCTCGCGTCTCCAGGGCAGCCAACGCCTGTCAAGGCTCCCTGGATGCTCCCGACACAAGGAACGTACGGTGGGACTCACACGTGCACCGGGCCTCGTCATGTCCAAGGACCTCCCAGTGTGCGTCCGTTACTGCCGCGTGCAACATTCCCCTTCCACTTACATAGGGACAGAAGGGGGATTTTATTCTCTCTTCAGTAGTAAGTTTGGCTTCTCTATATAATGAGATAATTTATTGGTTCTTACTCTAAAATACCAATTTAATCAGAACACACGCACACACACAAAACACAACACACCTCCCTTGCAGCCCACTAGTCCACTCCTGCCCCAGATTCCCATCTCTGTTACCCTCCCTCTGTGTTCTTCTTTCTAGGTCTCCATACCCTCTGTTCCTTCAAGCTGTGTTCTTCCAAAACCCCTTAGACAGCTTAGCTTTGTAGAAGACTCTGAGTCCAGGCCGGCGCTGTGGCACAGCCGGTAAAGCCACCACCTGCAGTGTGGGCATCCCATGTGGGCGCCAGTTCAAATCCTGGCTACTCCACTTCCGATCCAGCTTTCTGCTATGGCCTTGGGAAAGCAATGGAAGATGGCTCAAGTCCTTGGGCCCCTGCACCCACATAGGGCACCCAGAGGAAGCTCCTGGCTTTGGATCGGTGGAGTTCCAGCTGTTACAGCCATTTGGGGAGTGAATCAGTGGATGGAAGATCTCTCACACTCACTCACACTCTCCCTCTCTCTGGCTTTCAAATAATAAATCAATCAATCTTAAAGAAAAGAAGGCCCTGAGCCCAATTTAGTAAAAGATGCTCATATAGAGAAAGAAAACAACAACATAGATGAAGCTTATCTTGCTGCCTTCCTCCTTGGGATCACTCAGCTGGGAGCCCCCAGGACGGCAGGGGGTTATCTCAACCAGACAGCAGCCCAGGTGCACAGGCACGGAGCCTTCCTCCCTGCTTATGGAGCTGGCACAGGAGGTGGCTTCAGCCCCACCCAGGGACAGCCCACGGGGTGTTCCCTTTCCTGGGGCCGGAGATGCTACAACAGTTCTACAGCAAAACTGTCCCAGCCTGCGCTGCTTGCGCATGTCTCCCCCTTGTACTTGGGAGTCTTTGGGGAGGGCCTAAAGCAGAAGCCGGAAAACCCAGAAGAGCGGTAAATTAAACAAACAAGACGAAAGTCTGAATAAATATAGCGTGGCGACACGGGTGAAGTCTGCGGCAGCCGGCCAGCGAGGGGGCTTCCGTTGGGCTCAATGCTCAAGCCACCCCCACAAGGGGGCGGATGTTGTTACCCCTATTCTACATATGGGGAAACCACGGAGGCACAGACCTTACATACTTGCCCAAGGCCATCCAGCTAGGGGGTGGGTGACACAGGCTGTGGACTCAGCCAATTGGCTTAAAGGGCCAGAACCCCACCATCCTGTGAGCTTGCCCCTTGTGCATACAGCTCTTGAAAAGGAGGCAGAAGGCAAAGTCAGCATGCTGGCCTTCTGTTTCTCAGGTCTGTTTTACTGGATTAAAAACAAATCCTAAAATATCTGCACTGGTTCTAGATAAATGGTGGCTTTAACTGGAGTGGCTGGCTTTATGGAAATAATACCAGAAAACAAGAAAAATTCTCCCAGCTCCAATCTTGATATAGTCTAGGGAACACTGTAGAATAACCAATACTGCCACTGGCTCCCAACCAGATCTTAGAGCTGTCTCCCTCTGCTCTTCGGAATGCTCTGAAGTTGAAAGCTACATCCGTCCACCATGATCCTATTAAGCCAATTAAGTTTTCTTATCACATCTGCTTTGTTTGAAAAATTGTTATGGGCCTCCTTCCTGTCTGCCACCTTATTTGGTCCCTGAGTTTCTGGTTTCGTTGGCTTCTGTTCTGTGTGTTTGAGGGTCAAAGCCGTTCTCAGTTTTCGCCCTATCACCTTCTCACGATAGCTCAATTATCGTATTTTTCTCAGGAAAGAAAAAGAAGCGAGACATGGTGATGATCAGGCAGTGTTGTCTCCACACAATTTAGATACTTAAATACGGTCACCACTTTTGAGGTTCTGGGTGAGAAAAGATTAAAAACTAGCCAACATTTTATTTTATTTGAATTTGAGAGGCCCAGAGAAAGAGACAGACAGACAAGAGCTCAGAAAGAGACAGACAGACAAGAGCTCCGTTTGCTGGTTCATTCTCCAAATGCTTGCAACAGCCAGGGCCAGAGCTGGGAGCCAGGAATTCAATCTCCCACGTGCATGGCAGGAACCCATCACAACCGCCTCCCAGGGTGCACACATCGGCATGGAGCTGGAGTCAGCAGTTGGAGCCAGGCATTGAACCCAGGTCCTCCAATATGGAGTACGGGTGTCTTAACTGGCAGCGTAACCACTGGCTAAACACATGCCTCTGAGGCTTTATTTTAATGACACTTCAAAACTCTTCACCGGTCTGAGTAAATTCTTTACGTGTCCTTCCTGTGTTCACGGAGTCTCCTCCCACAAAACTAACATCCTGGTGCAAGCAGAGGGCCCCTCCTCCCCGCAGTTCCTCTTAGCACAGTGCAAGTCAGTTAGCAGACTGAATTTGCGTGGCACACACAGCCAAGCCACTCACGAAACCCCAGTGCATCTGCTGGCTGTGAGAACATGTCCAGCAAAACCGCCTTGAATGATGCCTTGGAAAGGTCACTTCATTCATCAGTGAGGTGAAAATGGACTGCAGCAACACCAGACCATCGTGGAATTCAAGAACTGAAGGCAAACAGACTCCGAGAGGCCACCTACTGCGACGCCCACATCCGCTGGCAGGCAGTCAGCCACCCTGCCTCTGCCCACCCACTCAATGGACATGAGCTCTTTTTTTTTTTTTTTTTTTTTTGACAGGCAGAGTGGACAGTGAGAGAGAGAGACAGAGAGAAAGGTCTTCCTTTGCTGTTGGTTCACCCTCCAATGGCCGCCGCGGCCGGCGCGCTGCGGCCGGCGCAGCGCGCTGATCCGATGGCAGGAGCCAGGAGCCAGGTGCTTTTCCTGGTCTCCCATGGGGTGCAGGGCCCAAGCACCTGGGCCATCCTCCACTGCACTCCCTGGCCACAGCAGAGAGCTGGCCTGGAAGAGGGGCAACCGGGACAGAATCCGACGCCCCAACAGGGACTAGAACCCGGTGTGCCGGTGCCGCTAGGCGGAGGATTAGCCTAGTGAGCCGCGGCGCCGGCCTGACATGAGCTCTTGTTACTAGAAAGTTCCTCATGTCATGTGTTGAGCCCAAACCTGTCTGCCTGCCATTTCCAGTCTGGTTCTGCCCCCACAAAAGACATGAATCTCACACACTCTCACACACACACTACCGTAGTCACTTCTTTCTAGATAAGCCCCAGTTTCTCAATATCCTTTGTGAAATGTAGACTGTGGCAATGCAGACAATACTCCCTTTCTCTTTCTAGATCATGGCAGGGGCTAGCGCTGTGACATGGCAGGAAAAACTGCCACCTTCAATGCCCACATTCCTTGTGAGCAATGGTTCACGTCCCGGCTGCTCACTTCCAATCCTGCTCCTGGCTAATGTGCTTGGGAAAAGCAGCAGAAGATGGCCCAAGTGCTTGGACACCTGCTACCCATGTGGGAGACCTGGAAGAAGCTCCCGGATCCTGGCTTTGGTTTGGCACAGCACCAGCCATTGTGGCCATCTAGGGAGTGAAACAGCAGATGAAAGATCTCTGTTTCTCCCTCTCCATAAATCTGACTTTCAAATAAATAATCTTTAAAAAAAAAAAGTTCATGGCAAACACATATTATAAAAAACTATAGAGTGGGGCTGGCACTGTGGTGTAGTGGGTAAAGCCACCGCCTGCAGTGCCAGAATACCCTTATGGAGCTGGTTCGAGCCCCAGCTGCTCCACTTTCGATCCAGCTCTCTGCTATGGCCTGGGAAAGCAGTGGAAAATGGCCTAAGTCCTTGGGCCTCTGCACCCGCCTGGGAGACCCAAAAGAAGCTCCTGGCTCCTGGCTTCACATCAGCCCAGCTCTGGCCATTGCAGTCATTGGGGAGTGAACTGGCAGATGGAAGACCTCTCTCCCTCCCTCTCTCCCCTTCTGCCCCTCTCCCCCTCATCTCTCTCTGCCTCTCTGCCTCTCTCTCTCTGCCTCTTACTTTAACTCTGACTTTCAAATAAATAAATAACTCTTAAAAACAAAACTATGGGGGTCAGAACTGTGGCACAGCGGGTTAATGCCCCAGCCTGCAGCACTGGCATCCCATATGGGCACTGGTTTGAGTCCCAGCTGCTCCACTTCCAATCCAGCTCCCTGCTGATGTGCTTGGGAAAGCAACTGAGGATGGCCCAAGTACTTGGGCTCCTGCACCTACATGGGAGACCCAAAAGAAGCTCTTAGCTCTTGGCTTCAGATCAGCCCAGCTCCAGCCATTGTGACCACTTGGGGAGTGAACCAGCAGATGGAAGATCTCTCTTTCTGTCCCTACCTCTCTCTAAAACTCTTTCAAATAAAATAAAAATAAATATTTCAAAAAAACTATCCATTGATTTCAAGATATTTTGCATCAAAAATAATCATTCTTTATGGTCCAAATCCTTGGGCCCCTGTACCCATGTGGGAGACTCACAGGTATCTCCTGGTTCCTGGCTTCAGATTGGCCCAGCTCCAGCTGTTGTGGCCATTTGAGGAGTGAACTAGCAGATGGAGTCTCTCTCTCTCTTTCTCTGTAACTCTTTCAAATAAACTTTAAAAAACCTTTTAATTCCATTTTCCACAAAGGTTTTGGAGTATCCTCATGTTTTATAAGTTAGTTACATTATTAAAGTCATACGTGGTAATTGCAGAAATCTATGACAACACAGGAAAGCGAACAGATGAGTTACTTATGCTTTCAACAGCAAGAGACAGCCAGGAATCATAACATCTAGGTGACGTCTTGCCAGAATTTTATACGTAGCTTCTTAAATTTATTTAATTATCAAATTAAATAGGTTTTGCTAGCTGATGCCTCTTTTTGCATCATCTGCGATCTGGCTGGTGGAGTTCTATCCTTGGAAGCGTCTCATCCTTGTTGAGCTATCTTTCCTTTTGCAGTCAGCTCCCAGGACAAGGGTGTGTCAATGAGGCCCTGCAGCAGCTCCTGTGCAGGTGAGGAGCCTGCTCCCCACTCCCTGGCCTCTGGGAGGGGAACCGAGGGTCCAGAAAAGCACACGCAGAAGTTACTCCTGTTTAGGCAGGAGATGGACCCTGCACAGGTTCCTGGGGTAGGTGTGCACTCCCAGCTCTACGTTCCCGTTTGCCTTTGCAAATAATTTCATCATCATTTCTCTTCCTACAGGCTGGCTGCCACACAGCAAGGTCTCCAACCATCACTGCCTCTCCCTGTGCCACACAGAGCTGCAGTTCACAGATTCCATGTGCGTTGATGGTAGTCCCCCTTGCCCATGGTTCTGTGTTCCGTGGTTCAGTTACTTGCAGTCCATCCTGCTCCAAGATTCAAATGCCAAATTCCAGATATAACTAATCTTTATTATAGTATGCTGCTATAATTATTTATTTCATCATTGTTGTTTTAAATTTCTTACTGCACTTAATTTATAAATTAAACTTTACCATAAATATTGATGAGAATACTGCAAGATGTCTGTGGAAAAATGTACATTTTTTTTTTAAAGATTTTAATCTATTTGAGAGGTAGAGCTACAGACAGTGAGAGGGAGAGACAGAGAGAAAGGTCTTCCCTCTGTTGGTTCACTCCCCAAATGGGTGTAATGGTCAGAGCTGCGCTGATCCGAAGCAAGGAGCCAGGAGCCTCCTCCTGGTCTCCCATGCGGGTGCAGGGGCCCAAAGACCTGGGCCATCCCCCACTGCTCTCCCAGGCCTTGGCAGAGTTATACCGGAAGAGGAGCAGCTGGGACCAGAACAGGTGCCCATATAGGATGCCGGCACCGCAGGCAGAGGATTAACCCACTGCGCCTCGGCACCAGCCCTGGAAAAATGTATTTCAATAAAGATCGGGGGCCAGCATTATAGCATAGTAGGAAAAGCTGCTGCCTGTGATGTGGGCATCTATATGGGCACCAGTTTGTGTCCCAGCTGCTCCACTTCTGATTCAGCTCTCTGTTAATGACCTGGGAAAAGCAGTGGCAGATGGCCAAGTGCTTGGGCTCCTGCAGCCACGTGGGAGACCCAGATGAAGCTCCTGGCTTCTGGCTTTGGCCTGGCTCATTCCTGGCCATTGAGGCCATTGGCAGACTAAACCAACAGATGAAAGACCTCTCTCTGTCTCTCCCTCTCTCTAACTCTTTCAGGTAAATAAAAATAAATCCTTATAAAATAAAAATTTGTTTTTGCACAAAAAATCTTGAAATCCATGCTTATGAGGGGTCTTCAAAAACTTCATGGGGAAATGTGCATTATGAAAGAAATATGCGGGCAGTCCAAGATTTTATTGTGCCAGAATAAGCTTATCTTTTAATTCCATTGTCCCACGAACTTTCTGAAGTACTTTCACACATGTAGGAAAAGACATAGCACACCTAGGATTCTGTACTATCCATGGTTCCGGGGATCCACTGGGGGTCTTGGAATGGATCTCCCACAAATAAGGGGGAACTGCTGTACCTCTTAGCACAGAGTGCTCTATACCCCAGCCCACGTCTGAATTACCAGGACTGGCCATCGTCTCCTACAGATGCTAGAAGAAAAGGCAAGATCTGACAAAACCCGCAGAAACACCGCACAGCGCCGATGTCCCGTCCTAGTGCCGATGCCCACCTTCGGCATTGAGGTGCATGGTCTCCAGGGGTCCGATGAACGCGTACCGCATGCCCAGGCCATCCGACATGACAAGGTCCAGGTCGCTGGGGGACACGATTCCTTCCTACACAAAGAGAACAGGGCAGACACATGAGTTCTCTGCAAAGGTGGTTTCCTAACTTCCTAGCTTTTTTAGGAAGTTGGAGTCTTCGGAGTCCCAACATGCTCTCCAGAGCACTAGCACAGGATTTTGATCGAATTGTGCACGACAAAGCATTCACAGCTAAGCAGGCCCGGAGAGGAGATGGTTCTGTGAAATGGTCACACTTCCCACTCCTGCCTGTACCCCTTGCCTGGGACCCAATTCCCTTCCATCCTCCTGTGCCCACCACCACTTGCCTCCCCATCCCTACCCAGCGACCCATAGGCCACCTGCAGCGGAAGGCAGGAGGGGACCAGCAGCAAGGGGAGTGGAGGTGGTGGGCAAGAAGAGCCACCTGGATCTTTGCCCAGGATCTGCAGGAAGAAGTGGGAGTGAGCAGAGCACCAGCAAAATTACCAGCAAGGGCTCTCTCCAGGCTCTCCCGGCCGGCTGGCAAGTCTGGCCTTGCACGGCTTTTAACGAGTACGTGACAAATGACATTCTCTGATGAAATGTAGCCTGGGACCACGGGCCAACGTAAGCCAAGGCAGGGCCCGTGGATGGAAACTGTGGAGCAGGGGCAGGTGGCTCTGTGCGCAGGCTCCTTGTCAAGGCAGCCATCTGTGCTCCTTGGCTGGTTCTTCAAACAGCCGCTGTCCCACACAGCTCTGGGAAAGAGGTAGGTTTCTGGCAATGAAACGTCAGTGAGAGGTGGTAACTTACTGTCCAGCTCGCCCCATCGGAGGGCCTTGTCAGCTTGGGGTTCTGACCCTCAGGAGAGGAAACAGGAGGGCAGCCGTCGCTGGTGAGACCGCTGGCCCTGCTGTGCGACCTGCTGCCTCAACTCTCCTCTCCTGAGCCCCGGCTTTGTGGATGGTGCTGTGGGGACTGAGGCAGGCCTCGCTGGGGCACCGAAGCCAGCGCCCCCATCGGCAGCAGTGGTATCCCCAGACCCCACTGCATGGCTCCAAGTACCCTTGGAGATCAGCTCCCAGCAGACGGGGCTTCCGCACCCTGTGCTCTCAGCACGTCTTCTGCCTTCCCCTGAAAAGGCCCCCCGGTGTCTTACTGTGCAGAAAAACCCTACAGGAGAGCTCTGAGGTGTCCCCATGGCCCCGTGGCCCACAGAGAGATGCCCTCTGCCCTCCAGGTAGCCCCAGGAGCCTGTCCTGGACCAACGGGACTTCCCAATTCCAACACCAAAGGCAGCCAAAGAGGTCACCCTCCACATGGAGAGAAAAGAGGGGTCCGTGACCCTCCACCTCCACCCCTCCATGACACCTCAGCTGCTGAGCAGCCACCTCCTAGTCCATCCAGAGAGAACCCTGTGAGGAAGGGGGTGCCAGAGCGAGGAGCCAAGACCAAGTTGAAGGCAGAGCCCTGCCCCGGGGGAGGGGCTAGTGTGGCCTGTCTGGGCAGCTGGGTGTTGAGGAACCACTCTCCATTTAGTTTGGTGTGTGTGCGAGACATAATCGCGAGCACCCCCCCCCCACCCCCAACAATAATTACAGAGCAAGCCCTGGAACCACCACACCCAGCCTCTTCCCTCCTTCCTGGAGGTAAACATCCCGACATGTGTCATCACCTCCTCTCTCTTTCAGGGACAGGCCATTCACGTTCACGGTCCTCAGCAGCCGGAGCCGCTGCTTGCCCGTCCCTTGTCTTCTCGTCCCAGGAGCCACGTGGTACGTGAGTGTCTCGACACTATGTTCTCTGTGACACCCCTCTGCTGTGTGTGGCTGTGGCTGGGCTGTTCTGGCAGAGGTATTAAAAGTTTACGTTTCCATCTGACTGTTCAAAAACAGATGTTTTTTTCTGGTGTGCGGCTCCTGCACGCTGGGAGATTCGTGAACCTTCTCCAGGTGCTGTGGGAAGACAAGTGCTGGGGCTCACAGCAAGCCGTCTTCCCTCTTCTGCTGCACTGCAAGGCGGCTGCACCTTACTCACTCACCATGGGTGCAAGGGCACCCAGCCCCCCAGCCCTGGGTGTGAGCACCAAGCACTCAGCGCTACTCTGCAGGGTGTGAGGGCATCGCCTTGGGTTTCTATTCTAAATCCTCCTGCGACCTGTTCATTTGGACTGCTAAGGACAGCAAATTAATTTATTCCATTCACTCCAATGCCAACAAGCATCACCCCCTTCCTGTTCTAACAGCAAAGCTGTAAGGGAGGGAGGCATATCACAGAGGAACTAATCTACAGAGGCCCCCCAGGGAATGCTCAGAGCCATCAGGAAACCCACGTGGAAGCACAGGAGTTCCACCCATCCCCCTTAACCCCACTCCTCCTCTGAGGGCAGGGAGGGCTGCTCTAGTTCTCTCCAGGCAGCCTGATGGCCTTGGCTGCTCCTCTCTACACCCCCTGGGCTCTGGAATGCTGTACAAGGCAGCCAGGCAGGGGCCCTGCAGACTCTCCCTCATCCTGGGTTTCCAGATCAACATTCCCAACAGCCCGAGTTTCCATCCTAGCATTCACACTGTGCAGGACGCAAACAGGGAAGCCATCCACACTTGCAATGCTATTTGACTTGGCTCTTTCCTTCTGAAATTGGGCTTAAGTATTTTTAGAGCTGATTTTAAAAAAGATTTCAAAACATCTAAAGCAGAGGTAGGCATTTGGAGCAGCAATTAAGAAGTCGCTTGCAACACCCAAGACCCATAAAAGAGTCCCAGCTCCACTTCTGAAGCCAGCTCCTACTAAAGTGCACCAGGGGAGGCAGCAGGTAGTGGGTCAAGTGCTTGGGTCCCTGCCATCCACATGGGAGACCCAGATGGAGTTCCACACTCCTGGCTTTGCCCTGGCCTAGCCCCAGCTATTATACACATGTGGGGAGTAAAGAAGTAGATGGAAGCTCTCTCTCTCTCTGCTTGTCAAGTGAAATGAAAATAAATATTTTAAGAAGTGCAATGACTGACAATAAATGCTTTTCAAAAAATACCTAGAAGGTGACCACCCGTGAGAGTCTGATTCCTGAGCTCCGCCTGTGCTAACCGCACCTGGGGACAGGCCGTCTCTCATTTCACCAGCCAAGGGACATGCTTGGACACTTCTGCACTCTGCTTTCTGTCTGTCTGGACCTTCTCAAGTGTATTTCTCAGGGCTTGAGTTTTTGCCAGGAAGCTAAATCTAGAGAAAGCAAGCGGCCACGGTCACTCAGGAGAGGGGCTCTCGGCGCTGCAGGCAGACGTGTGTTTCTCCCTGCTGCTGTGGGCACTGACCCACAGCCTTCGTGCTTAGCAAACGGTGATGCGCCAGGTGCTTAATGCTGCTGTGGAGCCCAATTCCACCCACGGCCTCCATCTCTGTGATCTCCCATTAGCGTGACAATTACAATAAGCAATTGTGCTGGGAGAATTAGCGCTCTGTGGCAACAGGCCTGGTAAGTGATTCCTTGGAGAGAGAGGGTGTGTGACACGGCTCTGTGGAGACTGGAACCCTACTCCAGTCTGGTGTTTTTGTGGTTTAGTTAACACTTGTAGCCATCAGCATGTTCTCCACTTTGTGGTAAAATTCTCAAGTCACACATATTAAGAAAAACCCGAAGTGGCCAAAAGTTTCTTAAAAAAAAAAAACATGCAAAGTAATGAATGCCGAGATCACTGTTAATTCAAAACCCAGTTTCTGCACCATGTCCTGAAAACTTACTGGGTTAGGAGAGCCCAGACAGAGTAAAAGGAATCGCATTCATTGGAAAACTTCTTGCCTCTGCTTTCTTCAGGTAAAATCTGAGACTTGGAACTCAGCCTATGGTACAGCAAGTTAGGCAGGGTTAAGCAGCCACCTGCCTTGCCGGCATCATTTTAATTTTTTGACAGGCAGAGTGGACAGTGAGAGAGAGAGAGAGAGACAGAGAGAAAGGTCTTCCTTTTTCCTTTGGTTCACCCCCCAATGGCCGCTGTGGCAGGTGCACCACGCTGAACCGATGGCAGGAGCCAGGTGTTTCTCCTGGTCTCCCTTGCGAGTGCAGGGCCCAAGCACTTGGGCCATCCTCCACTGTCTTCCCGGGCCAAAGCAGAGAGCTGGACTGGAAGAGGAGCAACCGGGACAGAATCTGGTGCCCCGACCGGGACTAGAACCCGGTGTGCCGGTGCCGCAGGTGGAGGATTAGCCTATTAAGCCATGGCGCCAGCCCAGGATCATTTTCTTATTCACTCTGAGTACTTCCTTTGCATGTTCTAATGTCATTTTTTTTAAATCATTTTTTTTCCTGCCATCTTTCCTTGTCCAATTCTTTACTAACTCCTAGCTTTTGTTCTTCCATTTGGCTTTGCTCTACATTTCCCCATATGGAAATGGTCCTAAGTTTTCAAGGTTTTCACATACAAATACTCATCCAGCTGAAACCACCCAGGAAGGTAGATGAAGTTCTAGTCTCTAAGTCCTCTCTGCTCTCCTCGATCTGAGTGGAGAAAGAGCAGAAAGGAAGGGCTTCCACTCAGGTCCGTGTGACAGCATGGGGTGCAACAGTGACAATAGGAGGACATGGTCATCCTCAGTTGTCAATTATTATTTTAACTGTCCATATTTACGGAGTATGGTGTAATCACTCAATGCACACACACAACCTGTAAACACTTGGCACCTTCTCTGTGCAATAAGAAACTGCATCCAAAGCAGGAGCACAGAGGGCCTGACCCAACCACCACCACCCACGCCACCTGCCAGGGGGAAGGTGGGGCGGACGGGAGAGCTTAATAAGGAGAAAATCAAGGACTGCTAGGTGCTGCCCCACCATTACTCACAGGCTTGTGGCCGGGTTTGTGAGCCCCAGGCCCCCTGACTATGCCTGCTGGCTTTCCTGGAAGCGGAACACAGACATTCCTGCAGAATGAACTGGGCAGGCTTTGCTAACCCTAGGAGAGTTGGCGGAACACGGCATTCACCTGATGCAACAGGACCTTGACTCAGACCCGTAACACGCCCGTCCTGCCCAGAGCCTCCAGTAGGGACAGACAACGAGAGACTCCAGGCGGCCCCTGCCT